AGAGATGCAGATTTTCATTGGATGCTGCGGACAAGCCAACAAAACGAGGGAAGAAGGCTGATCCCAAAGGCGACAAAGAGGGTCAATCCTCCAAGGTTTCAACTCCGAATAAACGCAAGGCAGAGCAAGTTGTGCCTACTGCTCCAAAGAAACGAAGGGTCAAAAAGCAAGCTCGACGACCGAAGTCTCCTTCCCCTTCTACAAGTGATCCTGAGTATGTTCCTTCTGATGGCCAGCCAGATCCTTAGACCACTGATGATGAAGCTACTTAAACCGATAGTCCATCTAGAGGTAATTCGCCTCCTCTCTCACCCACTAACGATAGCAACCGAACCTCGCCTCCACGTTCTGTTCCAATTTCTGTTCATATTACTATCGCTCCTTGTCCTCCACCTATCACATCTACAACTGCTTCATCCATCCCCATTCCAAACCCTCTGTTCACTACAGCTACAACTACCACCACCACCACTACACCCGAACCAACTGTTCATGTCAACGTATTTGATACGGGGGCAAGTCCATTCAGTTCTGATCCTCCTGTTACCTCAACTCCTTTAACCCCACCTGCATCCCCTAAAACCTGTTCTTGGCGGTGAGGACATGGAATTTGATTCAACTTATTTCATTCCTTTTCGTGTATAAAGCGATGAAGATGATGACGCCCTAATTACCAAAAAGCATCTCAAGGCTATAACCGAAAAACTTGATCAACTGCTTTCGTCATCTTCTACTGGTGCATATTCAGAGGTTGCTCTTCAAGCTTTATTCTCCTCAGTCGTCAAAGATCATGAGGCCTCCATCTCTAATGCTGCCAAAGCCATTGAAGCCTCCACCTCCACATGCCAAAACCTTCTCTTGCTGTTGAAGCTTCTACTAAAGATTGCAAGGAAGCGACCGCAAAAGTCGAAAAACTAGTTTCAGAGGCACATATTTTTCTTGATTCCCTCCAAGCAGCTGCACAAAAGAATGCTGAAACAGTGAACGCTTCGGTTGATCATCTTACGCGTTCACTGGCAGCCGAAAAGACACATCTTGAGGAAGCTCGAAAAGCCATTGAGGCTGCTAACCAAGAACTTCATACTTCAATCGGTGATCGGTTGACTCAACTTGAAGTCGAGCTTGCAGTTGAGAATAAAATTATGGATGAACTTGACAAGCGACCTCTCAGCTTAAGCTTCAGAATCTTAAGCTTAAGAATGCCACCAAAGAGGTTGAAGATTTAAAATCTGAGCGAGAAGTGATTAAAAGCTCAGTTGGTGATGTGCACTCCATTCTCTTACATCTACTGGAAGCTCACGACTCCATTCTGACCATCTCCATCCGACGTCACCTGACTGAAAAACTATGACCTGCATTGGATGTGTTGAGTCGTATCGAAGGTGTTCCGGTGACTGTGTCCATCCAAAACAAGGGGGAGATAAGACTACTCATGGCAAAGGTCAACCTCATCCACCTCCCAAACCGAACATCACTACTGAGCCGAAGGTTAATGAAGCTTCGGGCAGTATGAGGGACAGAAGAAAGAAGAAGATTGGAGAAGATGATGATGATGATGATATGCAAGAAAATACTGAAAGGAATGCTTCTAAACTTGATCAGAAAATCAAGCCTACTGATCAAGAGATTCGGGAGAAGGTTCAGAAAGAGAAGGAACTTCTTGAGAAGGAATTGAAAGCGAAGGAACTGCTAGAGCAGAAGAAGTCCATGTTTCCTGAATGGACTATGGAATCGCTTCTCAGGGAGGTTATTGATGCACCGAGCACTCATTGGCTTGAACCCGTTTTTTCGTTCGGCCTTGAGAACTCGAAGGACTTACAGTTTGACATGCCAATCTCCCGAAAGGCATTCATCTTTCATTGTTTTGAGTCGACGGCGGGCATTCCTTCTCCAGACCCGAAGGTAGATCGGGATTTGATCGAGTATTATCTCAAGTTTGCTCAGCCACAATACCTGACCTGAAGCACTCAGAAAATCACAACGGTCAAGGTCTTGAAGCCCACTTCGGCAGGGAAATTTATTAACATTAAATTCAAAGTGACTCGAGGCTCTGATAGATTGGTCCATATGGTTTCCCTGGCTGACCTACCGAACTTGAACCCTCACGACTGGATACTCCTTAATAATATTTTGCTGACCAATCCACAGGAGTATCAGCCTATTATCGATCACATCAAGTGGATGCTTGTATGTTATATTCATGAAGTCGCGAAGATGGATCAGGTGATCGTTGCTGCTATTCATAGCGATTGGAAAGGCAGGCGATGTAAATGCGATGGTTAAGGGGAAGATCGATCCAAAATGTCACACTGTTATGTTCATAAGGGGAGAAGGTCAAAAATGCATGTTCGCTCTGATTGACAAACACCTATTTTCCACTTCTTGTTTGGAGCACATTTTGGAGATCATACATAGGTGTAATCAGAACAGTGATGCTGATAAGAAATTGTTCACTGATATGCTTCGATGGTATATCCAGTTTCGTCAGACGCTTCTTGCGATCATCCCTCGACTCTTCAAAGTTGTAAAGAAGATCAAGGTCACTCAACCGAAGTAGTCTCTCGCCTCAATTGACGCAAAGGGGGAGATTGTTGGGTCTGGTGTTGCGTCTGTGGGCTCGGCTATAAGTCCATTTAGTTAACTCGGTTTGGGCTTGTCCAACCGTGGATAAATATTAGGGTTAGAATATAAATATTGCATGCATGTATAACTTTGGTAAGGATCGTTCTCATTAATTACTTGCATTGTAACCCTAACACATCTCTACAGTCGAAGTTCTTCATCGAGCTCTTTTGAGGTGTGAGTTATTAATCATTCGACATCATTGATCCATTCTTGTGTTCTTTACTTGATTAAATATTGTTTTTCTGTTTGGAATCTATCGATCTACAACTCTAATAATCCAACAGTAAGCATTAAACATTCCAATTCCATCTTTATTCTTTTTTTGATTTGTTCTTAGCCATGTGTGGCTAAGAAACCCTAGTTTATAGTTCTTGTTCAAAACATGTTGATTGCTTGACTTGCAACATGTGATTTGATGTTTGATTTGTGATTCTATTCTAGTGATTATGTTCTTGTTTAAACTAGAATCCTTAAATTTGATTTGTGTTGATTGGCCACTTTCATGAATTGAATTTTTGTGTAGTTAATTAACTTTTAGGGCACCTAATCGTTCTACAAAGTTAATGATTGGTAACAAACAATAGGTTTTCTTATTGTAGAACATTTATCACATGTTTTCACACTTCCGAGCGTATGAGAAGAAAAAAACATTGTTGGGAAGATTGTACAAAACTTAATGCAGTTTTTCAATACAATGTAAGAGCATGTTTAGGTTGAATTAGTAAAGTTAGGTCTAGTCAAAGAGCGTGTTTTTGTTAGATAATTTGGCAAGCGAGAGGTATTAGAGCGTGTTAATATCTTTCGGTACCAACTTAGAATAACAATCACAAATTACATCAAATCATAATCAGGTTAAATGACAACATTGAGAACTAGAACTGGAAGCACTTTTACAACTTGTTTACAAATCTATTTCATTTTATGCATGTTTCAAAGTTGATTGTTATTTTCATTATTTGACTTTTGCAAACAAATCCCCCTTTGTGACTAAAGTACCTTGCGCAAAGAGGTATAGACTTTTATCTCGTGTCTCTGTGGTTCGAACCTGCTTGCCTTGTACTACTTTTTAGTGCATTAGAGCAGTATATTTGGAGTCTGTTGTACCCCTATTATTTGTTGGGTTTGACACACTTAACATCCTACCTCACAACTGTCTTGCCTGATTGATCCTTATTTGATAGAAATATCGGTATTCATTGGAATGATTGATAGGTCTAGGCTATTTTCAGTCACATAGAATATTAAACTAAAACTTAGTGATAATGATACTAGGTTACGTCAGAGGAAAATTCAGTAGCTAGTAGCGAAGCACTGTCCGAGTTTCGAGTCATCACTTTAACAAGTAAGTGCATAGTTACTTTCATTTTACACATAGATATGAAGTATTTAAGATAATTACATTCTATATGTACCTATTATCTGTGTTCCTGATATTTATGCTAGATGAACGACTTATACATGTTTTTCTTAATTTAAATTGTATATGTATTTTTATACCTATAAATATGTTAGGTAGAGATGGGTAGATAAAAAGATGATATAGATGATGAGATATGAAAGATAAAATAGGTGATAAGAGGCCTTGACTTTAAAGATGATCCAGTCGTCTAATGGAGTATAGATGACGACCACGAATTATTCTAGACAGTCAATTGGAACACTAGCATGCTCACAACCTGTAGGTGTTTTTGAACTAAGTGTTCACCAGGTGTACTCCATCCCCCCCCCCCCCAGTTGCCTTATTGACATATATTACTAGGGAATCTCCTAAACATTATTGTAATCCCGAAGATGATCCGTAGGATAGGTCCCTCGAAGATGATCCACGGTTGCTAGTTTTTTATTTTTAATTTACGTCTACGTTGTGTATCTTTGCAATATTTACTTCGCTTTCAATTGTCCATGTTTGTTTTTATCTCTTTAGTCTCATTTAACTAGTTTATTCCTTATTGTAGGCTAACGTTTAATGTTGCAGGAAATTACTCATTGTGGGCAAAATGAACAACCCAATTTATCTATTCATTTATTTTCGTTTTATACGTGCAACTTATTGCATGTATTTGCTTTTTTTTTTTTTATCTTTTTTATTTAGTCACATTCCACTGTTTATTATCTATTGCATGCTAATGTTTCATATCGTAGAAGATTATTCGGCGTGGCATATGAACAAGTCAATTTTTTTTATTTATGTTTCTTTTATGTCGGAGGTCATCATCGAAAGGATCGTCTCTACTGTCGGTAAGGACTGTCTGATTCTCACATCCCCTTTATCTAATTTTTATGGATTAGGTTAGTGTTAGTGTTAGTGTAAATGGTTCATTAATGTCTATTTTGGAAAACCAACCTCCAATGGTACATTTTCCAACACATTTCTTAGCCCTATACATAAGTTTATAGTTTTTGTCTCTAAAAGGTCATGATTTATTCGTCTCGTTGCTCATACTCGATCTGCTACTGTATTCGTTGCTCTCAAATTCTTGGCTCGACATCACCATCTTCCTAAACTTCATCATATCATCATTGTAGTCTTTTGTGTCATAAACTCTCGTTTCACCATTGCTTATTGGTGTCCCTCCATTTGTTGTATTCTCGTTCAAGCTATCCAACGATGCATCCCCTTCCAATGCTCGTACAATCTGGTTTGTTCATGTCAAATACCATATATCAATTAGTTCATGCACACATGAATTTATCTTTGACATAATTTAATTAAGGAAGTTAGAGAAAACAAAATCCTAAACCCTAAATCTAACCTGGCTCATCTTAGGGCGCTTTCTAGCAGAATGTCGAACTGCAGCTGCAGCACAAGAAGCCATACGGGACATCTCTTTCTGATCGTAATTACCTTTCAAACGTGGATCCACGAGCTCGTTGAAGTCTCCATCTTCTAATGCCTTCGCGATGAGTGGTTTCGCCTGTTTTTTAATTTCACAAGTTATAAAAAGAAACTACTAAAGTTTATATAAAATTCATGAAGGTTAAGAAGTTGAATTAGGTTAAGCTAGTTACAAACCCATTCGACAAGACTGTCATCCATGTAGTCGTTCGAGGGATCGACCGGTTTCCTTCCTGTTAATATCTCCAATAACATGACCCCAAATGAGAAAACATCTGATTTATCTGTTAGCTTCCCACTCGAAGCATACTCCGGAGCTAAGTACCTGTTAATTGATTCAATAGACTGGAGAAATTTATATGCAAAAACTTTAAAAAAATCGTACACTTCATCATTTTAATTTATAGATAAATAACTCACCCGAAAGTCCCCATTACACGAGTTGAGACATGTGTGTCGTTAGCCGATGTTAGTTTAGCCAATCCAAAATCAGCCACCTGCAACAAAATATCCAAATAACCTTTTTGATAAACTTAAAACCATGATGGAAGTTATTGGTAGTTGTGATATCCTTCACGCTACTAAAATAGTGTCAATTTTAGAGAACATGACTCGAGCACTTTCCAAACGGTCACCCATCTCTTTACTATTCTTGCATAGGTATATAGTTGTTCTTTTAGATAGCATTTGGTAATGGGACAATATTAGATGGAACTGTAAAAGTTCTATAGAACTGGAATGGACTAAACAAAACAAATTGTTTGTATAATGTTTCGTAAAATCGGAAAATGATAGAATAAAGATTTAAAATTACCAAGTTATCCTTGAAACTTATCATATTGACTTTTTAACATATAACAATTATGAATGAGAAACATCGTGTGATTTTTAAGTCCTATTATAAAAAAATATACACACAAGTTTATATGATGACAAAGATGGGTGTTGCTCTCACTCGTTTTCTTCATTAAATTAATGGAAAGAATCGAGATTAGTCAAGTATTTTAACAAAGTTCCAAAAAATTATGTAAATGGGATTTGCTTCTATTAATTGGAAAGTTTGATTTGTGAAAAATGTGACAGGGAAGAAAGAGACTCAAGTACTCAAGTTAAATGAGAAAGAATCCAATAGTAATAAAGGGCATTTTAGTCGCAAATTATTTGTTTCATTCTTTTGGATAAGACAAAAAAATTAGAAATTTTTTCCCATTTGAATTGGTTTTTGTTATATTGTTCTTGTTCCGTTCATGTCAAACACCCCAGAAACGATTCTGTTATGTTTTGTACCGTCTAGTTCCATCCACCAAATATTATTTTAAGATCTTATGTAATCATAATTTTAAAATGCTTTTGATAGGTGAAATAACCTTATAACAAATTCTTAGTTCCCCTTCAACTAACATGACGTGAGACTAAGTTTACACTAATTGGTGTATAGAATTTAGTCTCACGTCGACTGAAAGATAACAAAACATTATTTATAAGATATGGATTTCAATAGTAATGAGTCTCATAGAACAACATAGTTAAACGTTCTACGTTCTCAGAGTAAAGTAATACCAAGACTCGTGAACCACTTATAAGTTCAAAACGAACAATATCTTTATGTGTGCATGAAATGTTATAATGGCCCACAAATGTATTCATTCATTTAAAGTATTTCTACTTTTTACCGACATAACATACCTTCGCCTCATACTCATGGTCAAGTAGAATGTTAGCGGATTTGATATCTCGATGAATGATCCGAGGATGGCCTACAAGATTTGAGGAAATGTTTAGACTATCGACAAATAGAACACATGAGAGAATGATAGAGTGATAATGTCGTACAATCTTCGTGAAGATACGCAAGTCCTTTGGCAGATCCAAGCGCAATATGCATTCTAGTTTGCCAATCTAGAACAAGTTGACTCTTTCCTACAAATAAAAGTTGGATTCATGATGCATTCCTACAAAAAACATGAAATGTTTTTTGTGTAACCTGTACCATTTTGATATGGTCAACATGTATTAATATAAAGTGAATAAAGATGTTTAAAAATACACACCGTGAAGATGGAAGTCCAAAGTTTTATTAGGAACGTATTCGTAGACTAAAATCCTCTCCGCATCACAAATACAATATCCGACGAGTGAAACCAGATACCGGTGGTGGACCCTGCTAATGATCTCCACCTCTGCCTGAAACTCTCGTTCACCTTGTCCGCTGCCCGATTTTAAGCTCTTTACAGCTACCTCTTGCCCGTTGGGTAACACTCCTTTATGAACATACCCAAAACCTCCCTGCCCTAAAATGTTGTATCCGGCGAATCCTCCGGTGGCGGCTGCTAGCTCGTCGTATGAAAATTGGCTCCTGAAAGCTAAAGACATGACGGATGTCGCTGACATTCTTGCCCCCGACGACGCGCGACCGGTGTTCACCGGTGGTGATTGTCCCCAATTACTACTGCCGCCAGGCCCACCTCCAAATTTGACGACATGGTCTGGTTTGCCATGGTAGTGTAGTCCACCACCGCCTACTCCTGGAGGTTTTTCATGGCTGTCGTCCAAATAATAGGGTTTCTTCTTCTTCCGATTACAGAGTAGACAAACGATAACGAGAGCAAGAAACACCGCAAGGGCGGCAGCTACTCCGGCGACGATTGTTATGCTGGTGGTGGAATCAGAATCTGAAATTGAATCATAGTCGTTTGATTTATATGGTGATTTCCGGTTAGAATTTTTGGGTAATTTGTTGTCAGGATCTCTGTTAGAAGCACTGCCACGTGGCGGATAAACGTTAGGAGGGGTGAAGGTAGATGATGGACGTCGCTTCTTCCGCGACGGGGTTGGGTTTGATGGCGGCTGTAAAGGAGCGGCAGGCGGCGGAGTTCCTTCACCGTCTTCAGGCGGCGAGGGTGGTGGTGAATAATCTGAAGGTGGTGGCGATGTGGGGGCCGGAGCAGCCTCTGGGGCCGGTTCCATATGTCAAGATGAACTTTTTCCGGCCCTCGGAATTAGAATCCCTCTGCCGGAAAAATCAGACCTTCATCTGTAACTTCTAATTCACCACCCCTATAATCTATTTACTAACAATTATGTAGTAGTGGTATTTTTCTTGATTTTCCTCCTCAATGCAAATTTAGAACTACATTCCAAATTCCAAAACCAAAGTCAAAATTCGCATAAATCAATCATACACCCTTTTTTGTATTAACATTACAAGAATTCAGAAATAACCCACATTTGAAAATTTGTATTTCTTTTAGCATGAAAATTGAAACAAAGGATCTCCATGTTTATCATCATCATTAAAAACTCAGATTATAAATTTTGAACAAACATGAATGTTAAGACTTACAAAATACGAACCAAACACCATTCAGAATCTAAGACTTTTCCCAAATAGAATCTTTTCATTTTGCTTATAATCGGAAAGAATTTACGGATAACAAGTCATAAAAAAGAGAGATGTTTTACTTTTACCTGAATGAAGAATAAAGAAAGGACTCAAGAAAGGGAGGAGAGAGAAAGAGCATTGCGATATTCCCAATTGAGAAAAGTCAACCGTGTCTTTCCCCTCCTACAAAGATGGACCCTTCTCTCACCTCACAATTCAAACAAAATATGATCATATAATGACCGAAATACCAAATTAACCCCTAAAAAAATCAAGATTAAACATCTCAAGAAACTACCATGTCAATTAAAACGATATCAAACATCCAAAAAAACAAAGTAATAGCATATGTACCAAGGGGCAAAACTGTCATTTACTAACTACTACTTAAAAAAAACATTAAGCAATGGAGACAAGGCTATTAGCATAAGGCAACAACTTATTAAAACCAGAACCCGAGATAAACCATGGGCCTTCTACCTTTCCATCTTTCACATGATAAACAAAAAGACGATTCAGCTCTTCACACGACTTCTTCAAAATCACACCAACAACATCATCACATGAATTACCCAAAACACTACAATCAACCACGTCACCTTTTTTAACATCGTCAATGGGAGCAAAAAAACTCATGCTATTTTTCAATGACCGAAGACCACCACGATAAACATTCAACACACACTTTTTGGTAGAATTGCGATAATGCCCTTTGACATAGCATAACTCTCCGTGGACCTTCGACAATGCACCACCTCCGGGGAGTATTTGAACACTAAGGATTTCATGCTTCAAATCAAAGGCTAACAACTCGCCACCTGTCGTTTCCCAGTAAACAACTCCATTTACAAAAACACCCTCGCTTTTCACATCAGATTCATTCAAATCTACACATATTTCTTCAGAAACCCTCCAAGATTTTGTATTTGAATCATAAATGTCAACATACAAAATGGGTTCTTCACCAGGAATAGAGAACGGGCATATAACATGATAAGATGGCTGGAAATTTAAAAGATAAGGTTCAAAAGCAAGCACAATTTTTGCTTCTTGGCTATGGTAGTAACTAGAATTTGGAAGCTTGATGAACTCTTTGTTTGCAGGGTTACAAACGTAATTTTCGTTTTCATCTTGACAAAGAAGTAACCCGTTGCATGAGCTTTTTATGGAAACTTCTTTTGGGAGGAAATTTAAAGAAGGTAAAGGAACCCCATAAGTGAAGTGGTCAAGGGAGATGAAACGAATTGATCCAAATTCGTCTTCAAAGATACCTGAAGTTTGACTAAATTGACTTTGGGTGTGGGTGAAGAATGGACCTGATATCCATGAATCCCATTCTTTAGAGACAAGTTTACACCTGGCTAATGATTTGGCTGGAAGGTAAGGAAGGATGTGGGTTTTTGCCAAGTATTGTATCGTTATTTCTTCCTTTAACTTATGATAATTAGGCATCAACGCTAACTTCTGCTTTTTATTCTGTAAACTTGAATACAAGTGATAATGATTATTCAGTAAACGAAAATGATTTATGCAAAAAAAAAAAAAAAAAAGACATGGGTGTTAGTGTTACCATATCGTTACTAGCAAGAAACTCCATTCCTTCTTTATCATCATTTTCTTCTTCATCTTCTCCATCCTCATCATCATCTTCATATTCTCCACCTTCTTCTTCATCCTCCTCCTCCTCCTCATCATCATCATCATCTTTATTCTCATCATCCTCATCATCATCTTCATCTTCATCTTCTTCATCTTCTTCTTCATCCTCATCATCATCTTCATCTTCTTCATTCTCATCATCCTCATCATCTTCTTCATCCTCATCCTCATCTTCTTCATCATCATCATCATCATCATCATCGTCTTCTTCCTCATCATCATCTTCTTCTTCATCATCATCCTCATCATCTTCTTCATCCTCATCATCATCATCATCATCATCATCATCATCATCATCATCATCATCATCATCATCGTCATCTTCTTCTTCATCAACATCATCTTCTTCATCATCATCATCTTCATCTTCACCATCTTCTTCATCAACATCATCTTCATCATGAGAGTTGGTTGAATCCTCGAATTTTGAATCCTCATTTGGTAAATCTAACGAACAAGATTTGATTTGTGTATTGTCCTCATTAACAGGTGTAGTGTTTGAAGCTTCTTCTTCTTCTTCTTCTTCAGAAAGGAAGTCATAAGAACCATCACTGGATCGATCCTGAAACAGAATGAAAACATTTAGATGTCATTTCGTTTATACTCTATACTGATTTCTTATGTTCTGTAATCATACCATGTTACTAGAGATATCATCCAAATCGACGAATTCGTAAGATCCATCACTATGAACTTCCTCTTTGACCTCCATAATCAAAACCCTAACGATTCAACAACAAAAAAGGGTTAGAGAAAAGTAGACAACAATGGAATACAAAATTGTAAAGTCAAGTCAAAACGATTGAGGGTTTTTCATCAAGAACTGAAAACAAATTCAATAAAAACAGGAGTGAAACACAAACACTAGAAGTAGGGGCTGAAACCGATCAAAACTAAGGTGTTGTTTGTTTTGGAAGTGGTTAAATGTCTTTTGTCTTTTTCCATGTTTGCGGAAGAAGACGTGCACTTGCGAAACGTCTACCCACCAGAAGGAAAAAGCGCTCCAAAAATACTTTTGTAGAAAAACAAACGAGGCCTAAATGATATAAACAATTTTAATTTGGTTCAAAATTATGATATATTAAAATAAAAAATATGTATAATTAATATAAAATACTTTTACATTGTTTATCAAATTGGAACTTGTACAGTCTTCAAAATCTTGAAGAATTGAGTCTAAACTATTCTAACAGACATAATTTATCTTGTCATTTTAATTGTTTTGTACCAATTTTAACAAAGTAAAGTGCTAAATTTCCTTCACCCTTAAGGGTATTTTCGTCATGTCCAAATGCATATCTAGTGTCTGGTAACTTTTGAGCTTTTAAGGGGTGAGCAAAAACTCATTGTTGTAAGGCATCATTTGTTATAAAAAAAACATTGTTCAGCCACTTATACAGAAATCAAAACACAAAGGTGAAGGGACTAAAACTGAAATTTTATGTAACTTTGAAAATGATCAACAGGTTTAAAAAATGTATTAACTTGTTTAAGAAAACAATCTCACATTTGAAGTTGTGTATTTATCAATTATCATAACCTTTTCTTATAATAATGGTACATAATAAAAGCTTAAAGATCTGAATCCACCATTACTTTCTAATAACCATAAATTCACCGATACACAAATTGTAAAAAATAATCCCAATTATGATATTTTGTATCTTTTAGAAGTCACATTTTTATCACAAAATCTAAGAAGCAGGGGTGAATCTGTTTTTAATGAGTTCTAAACACCAAACACAACCCCACATGCACCTTCTTCATCTTTTGTAGTACAATATCAAACTTGAGCATGCTATGTCAAGAGTCGATCTCTTCTTAATTGAGCATAGCTATTTCTTTTAAGCTACCAATTCCTAAGTTTTATGTCTAATGATGACAGATAACTTTTATGTCTTTATAAATAAATAGAGATTACGTACAGCTACTTAGATAAACCAATAAAGTCATAAACCCAATAACAGAGAGAGAGAGAGAGAGAGAGAGAGAGAGAGAGAGAGAGAGAGAGAGAGAGAGAGAGAGAGAGAGAGCGAGAGAGAGAGAGAGAGAGAGAGAGAGAGAGAGAGAGAGAGAGAGAGAGAGAGAGAGAGAGTATGTACCTTTGTGAACGAGAGGGCCGGAGAGCACAGAACAGAGGTATCCCAACGGTGAGCAGCGGCGGAGGTCGGCAGGGGGGGAGCAGCGACTGAGTTCGGCGATCCGGTAGGGAACTGATATCACAAACTGTATGGGGTTTTATGGATTGAGTTAATAGGTTTGTAAATTGAATATTTATAATGATTGTTTTCGTACTTTAAAGAATTATTTGTTTCCTAATAAAAAGTTGAAACCCTAGCAGTTTCATGCATGCAAAACAATAAGAGAAACTTTCAATTCGTATATTGTTTTCATATAATCGTAAAGACTTTGAAGAAATTAAGCAATGGATCATGATTCGTGAATCTTTATGCATGAATGTGGTTTGAAGAACATACAGATTGAAATCGAAAATCGCTCTGAAAACCCCGAAAGTGAAATTGGTGAAGTGCGTAATTAGAAGGGAAAAGAGAGGTTTATACCTTTGGTACCTTGACGTAGAAAAGAAGGTTAGGCCAATAGGGTTTTTAAACACAAAATAATCATTATATCCAATATTTTATAATTTTATATTCCCCTAATCCCCTTTTACGGATTTTGTGATAAATTAATAAATTATAACAGCTTATACTTATCCACTAATCCTTATATATTATAATTGTAATTGTAATTATAATTTTACATATAATTATACAATATATACGATTATTGCTTGGATATTACAGTTATTTATGGTTTTGTTGAATGTTGAATGTTGAAGAATAAGTAAATTCGAATTACAATTATGCCCCCTACATTCTTCTTTATTAGTCACAAACCATTCCATTACGTGTGCACTTTTTGTTTATTCACAAACCAATGAACCATCCGTGCAACTTTGTTGAAGAATAAATAAACTAATAAAGCCCCATTATCTACAAGTTAAAATATGGTCCTTATATTCTTCTTATTTATTTATTTTTTTGACAAACCATCTAATATTTATTTCTTTTAAATTTTTGGTGTTTTGTTGCCCATTAGCATATATCATTTTCCTGTTCATATATAGATTTTTTTATATTTCATCGTTTTTTAGTGTATAATAAATTAATATCGTTTGCACTTTGCAGGTTTGTTAACAAAAGTTTTGCTACAATCAATAGTTTTAATTTGCAATTTTAACCTAAATTTCAAATATATATATATATTATATATATATATATATATATATATATATATATATATATATATATATATGGTACTTTCTAAGCTTTTAACAAACAAATAAATTAAAACTTGCTTTTTTGAAATATTTTTTTACAGCTTATTGTTTTACAACCCAAGTTTGTCCATATACAAATTAGACAAAACTTTTGGTTTTTGTTTACAGTGTTTAACAAATTAAAGGTGTTCTTTTTATCCAAACACTTCCCTTTTTTGTAATTTTAATCCAAATGTTAAAAAAATCTACAATTTTGGTCGAATCTTTTAACAAAAGTTTTTTAATACTTCGGTTTTTTAACATTTTTTACAACTTATTGTTTTACAGTTTTTTGTACAGACTTAGTTTTTTTACAAAATTATACTTTACCAACCTTTGTATATATTTGTTTTTATGTATATTTTTTGAATTCAAACTATATTTTTATTAACTTATTCTATATCTATATCTGCAGCAAAAAACATCAATCATACCCTAAATAATTGGAATACAATTCACATCCAAAAAACTTTATTTAAAAGAACAAATTCCCATGTTAAAAAAACATAATAAACATCACATGTACAAAAACACCTCATAGGGGCAAATTAAACCATCCACTAATTAGTGACAAAAAAACGCTGCTAAAAATTAAAATGTCGACTATAGATTTCTATGAACCTATAGAAACAAGACTGTTAACATAAGGAAACAACTTAATAGAGCTCCAAACATACCATGGGCCTTCAACCTTTTGATCCTTCATATGATAAGCAAAAAGACAATTCTGCCCTTGAGACTTCTCCAAGGTAAAAGCGACAACATCATCGCATGAATTACCCAAAACTCTGCAATCAACCATCTCACCATCTTCGACACCATCAAGACGAACATCAACACTCATTGTACTTTTCAAAGACATAACACCACCACCATAAACATCCAATACACACATTTTGATGGAATGACAATAATACCCTTTGACATAGCATAACTCTCCATTGACCTTCGACAATGCACCACCTAACGGAAGCTTCTGAACACTGTAAAACTCATTTTTCAAATCAAATGCCAACAACTCGCCACGTGTAGTTTCCCAATAAACAATTCCATTTACATAAAGACCTTCACTTTTAACATCGGATTCATCGAAATCGAGACATATCTCATCGCAAGTCCTCCAAGATTTTGTATTTGAATCATAAATGTCAAAATACAAAATGGGTCCCTCACCAGGAACAGAGAAAGGGCATATAACTTGATAACGTGGCTCAAAGTTTAGAGAAGAAGGTTCAAAAGCAAGCACATTTTTTGGTTCTTTTCCATGGTAGTAACCAGAATTAGGAAGCTGAATCCACTCTTTGTTTGCAGGGTTACAAACGTAAATTTCATTTTCATCATCAGAAGCTTGACAAAGAAGCAACCCATTGCAAGAGCTTTTTATAGAAACCTTTTGTGGAAGGAAATAAAGGGAAGGGTAAGGAACCCCATAAGAAGAGTTGTCAAGAGAGATGAAACGAATAGTTTCAGCATCATCTTGAAAGAAACCAGAGGTTTGACTGAAGTATCGACTTTGGGTGTGTGCGAAAAATGGGCTTGAAATCCATAAATCCCATTCTTTAGAAACAAGTTGACACTTAGCTAATGATTTCGCTGGAAGGTAACGAAGGATGTGGTTTTTTGCCATTTCTTTTATTGTTATGTTATCCTTTAACTTTATGTGAAAAGGGTAATCATGAACATCAAAATTCGAGTTCTCATAAGCCATGGTCATAAAATTTCGCTTCCTACTCTGTAATTTGAAAACAAAGAAGCGATATAAGAAAAGAAACAAGAAATGATTAACAAAAGAAGATGAAAAGCAGGAGATAAATGTTAATGTGTTACCATATCGACACTATCAGGAAAATCCATGCCTGAAAACTCTTCTTCTTCTTCTTCTGAAGGATCAGATTTGGCTTCATTTTCTGATTCGAGTGAAAAGAATTTGATTTGAGCAGAAAGGTCTTCGTAAGTAGAAGCTTCTCCTTCTGTTAGAACAAGTATATCAGATAGTTCAGAAGAAAGGAAGTCATAAGAACCATCACTGGAGATATCCTGCAACAAAATAATAAAATTTAGATTTCATTCGATTTATAGTACTTTCTTATGTTCTTTGACCATACCCTGTTGCTAAAGAAATCAGCTTTTATATTCATATCTTCCATGTTCACAGCGTAATCATCAAAGTCGATCAATTCAAAAGATCCATCATCACTATGAACTTCCTCCTTGGATTCCATTATCTAAAAACCTGTCGATTTGAGTTAAAATTAGCTGCGCAGTTGCTTGATTTGGTAGTTCTTGGATATAACAAGCTAGTTGAAAACTGAAATGACTGATCGATCATACATCCAAACACTTATTTTGATAAAGAAAGAGAGACACACGAGTGTGTGTGAAACGACTTGTAAAGTGAAGTCAACACGATTGGGGTTTATTCTTGATCAAGAAATGAAAACGAATTCAACCCAAAACCAAAAGCAATAAATCAAAAAGAAAATGAAAACAGGGGAATTAATTTCATCTATCAAAATCGAAACCCTAGCGATTTCATGCATACATATACATACATACATACAAGCAATCAGATAAACGTTCGTATTATTTTCGGACGATCGGAGAAAACGTTGAAGAAAAGAGATTGATCATGCATGAGTGTTTACGCGAAAAGGGTTTGAAGAACTTACAGATGAAATTGAAAAGGCAAATCGATCTGAAAACACCGAAAGGTGAATGGGTGAAGTTTAAAATTAGAAGGAAGAAAAGAAGAGAGGAGAGGTTTATAATTATATCGTGACGGAGTGTATTTGCTTGGTATCTTCCGGAAAATTTCGTTGCATGTAACGAAGAAAAAGAATTTAGCCCAATAGGCATTTTACACAAGACGAAGTCAACAGTCAAATGATTTTTTATTATCATTTTTTGTGGTGTTATTTTGGTTTATATTTATATTTTTTTTTTTGTAAGTTTATATTTGTAGTAGATATCAAAATCCCGTTAAATATTGGGATTCTTGTTATATTTGTATGATGATCCGCAATTCCAAAACTATAGTTTTATCTTCTAAACTTTCCAAAATAATATATTTAAGCTTAACAATACGTGCACCTCAAGGGATGTGAGATCTTGTTGCACAGCCAATTCCATGTAAAAATCAAAGGCCATCTCAAACTGCTCAAACTTTCATGCACCATACACAAGGTGTGTAGTTGAGCTCGAGTTGGGTGAGCTTAATACCGCTTCCCAAGCTTAAATATATATTTGTCTCGTATGCATTTGACAAGTCTTTCGACGTCTACAAACAGTCAATCTGAAATCTCATATAGACTCAAACAACTTAAATATATATATTTGCAGAATCTCATATGTATTTATTTATTATGACTAGTCTCTCGGCGATTACAAACAGTCAATCTTAAATCCCACATAGACTCAAACAACTTAAATATATAGTTGCAGAATCTCATATACATTTATTTATTATGACTAGTCTATCGACGTCTACAAACAGCCAATCTGAAATCTCACATAGACTCAACCTGTACGGTCATATTCACTCTCCTTTGGTTCAAGATCTTCCCTATATTACTGTAAAACACCGTTATAAAACTCTTATTAAACTCAACATCTTTGAAGATCCGTTGGAACACAACATCACGTTCTCGCCCGGAGGTCCTATTCTCTACCCAATGGAGTATAAGGTCATCCACAATGGGAGTTGTATAAGGGTTTAATAGATTAAATGTGAATATAATATAAAGGAGAGAGAGTATGAAGTTAAATGGGTGCAATAGAATTCTAATGAAAGTTTATGAATTTTTTAAGAATAAAGTGAATGCATACATTCTCTTTCATACTTGGCAATCCATAGAACTCTCCATGGATTTAACATTGGAGATGACCTAAGATTGTCTTTCTATCTTGACATACACTCATCGGGAGATCGACATCTCTCTAAAATATTTTTAATAAAACATAAGGAATTGAATCTAAAATATTTGTTGTTAGCTAAAAATGACCAAACTCCTTTAAACACATAAGAGTTCAATTTTTGTGGGTCACCATGTTAACGAGATTTACTTTTAAGGCCACATAAATTTAGAGCATCACGTATAAAAATGTCAAATATATATTTTTAACTAATATAATTAAACTGTTGACGTGTTGATCCGTGGATCTGCCTACTTACGGGGTATGCAAATCAACCCACTAGTGACCCAATCTCGGTTAAAATCGAACCAAACCAGTTTAGTTGTGTTTCGTGTTTCGTATCATAACTGAAAAATACTACCTTTAATTAGAAAATACCTATAAACTGATTATACATATAATTTACAAATATGTTTTGATATGAGTTCACAAGGTGACCAAATTATATGGGCACACCTAAGAATGATATGGACCGTTAAATTATAATTTTTTTCATTATAGGTATATTAGTAAACCACTAATCCTATTTATTTAATATATACAAAAGAAGCAATTGATCGAGATTCCTTGGTTAAAAAAAAAGGTCAATCCCAAAATAATATACGGCCTCGACACCATCTCCATTATGGTGGAATCATTTTGTGCTTTTAGAAATTCTTGAACTCAATTTATGTCTAATCTTATCCTTCTTGAGCAAATACACAATTATTTTTATAAATCCAGAATATCTACAATATGAGTATTTCAATAGTGTTTTCAATAGTTCTAAAAAAATCTTGAAAAATGAAAACTGAAAAAAACTATAAGAGAAGTTTTTTCAAATCAAAACATTTTCAAGTTAGTTTGTTAACTAGCAAAGCCCTTCTAATAAAAAAATTTCAATGATTGTGTAGGTTCTATATTTTTTTTAACAAATTGCAACTAAACAACATCTAATAAAAAAAACATCTCATAAAAATATATTGAAAAAACTCTCGTAGGAGATACAATGAGCTTTATCTTTTTGAGTTTTTTTATTAAAAGAACTTCACTAAATATTTCTTCTATTATGGATGCTTTGATAATAATAATAATAATAATAATAATAATAATAATAATAACTAGAAAAGATTCCCCGGCGTTGCCGGGGTCGGAAGGTATTGCTTTGTAAAGTAAAGTAGCATGTTGGTTGCTTTTTGTCCGTTAATGTGAGGGTAATTTGGTCTTTTCAGGTAGTAGAGACTGAATTTGTCACCATAGGTAAACCATATGGACCATTTATGAAATTTTGGCGGTGGTGGTGGTGGTGGTGATGGCAGATGGTGAGTGGGTTTTATGGTATTGGGTGAATATTTTCTAATAAATAAAACATTAATTTAAAACCAAAAAGAGAATGTTAAATCTGGTAAACCACAGGGACCAATCGTGTAATTTTGTCTAACAATAATAATAATAATGATGAGGGACAATTTCTGCCAAAAGACTAAATACTAATAACATGTAATAAAAGGCGAGGGTTATGAAAAATTCGAACCAAAGTGAAAGGGTTGTTTGTGAACAAAAGCATAAAGATGAAGGGTCAATGTTGTAAGTTGGAGGACCAAAATTGACAAAAAAGGTGTTACTTTACTCTTAAAATCTTTCATAACTTTAATATATATATATATATATATATATATATATATATATTATATATATAATAATAATAATAATAACTAGAAAAGATTCACCGGCGTTGTCGGGGTCGGAAGGTATTGCTTTGTAAAGTAAAGTAGCATGTTGGTTGCTTTTTGTCCGTTAATGTGAGGGTAATTTGGTCTTTTCAGGTAGTAGGGACTGAATTTGTCATCATGGGTAAACCATATGGACAATTTATGTAATTTTGTCGTCAAATTCAACAAAACCTAAGGACCATTTATGTAAAATAAACCAATTCCTTACTGTTCATATATGCTTTTACATATTAAAAAAAACCATTAATTAAAGAAGTGACGATAACAAAAATGGGAATCGTTTTAAGTAAAAGCGGAGCGAGAGAATTGAACGGAAGAAGTAAAAAACAATAACTTAGGGGAAAAGTGGCAACAGGTAAAACAATTGAAGCAAAAGAGTAAAAAAAAAGTTGTAGAATTACCATTTCATAAAAGTGTTATCCTTTAAACAAAGTGACACACAAACAAAAATGTAGGGACCGAAATGTAATTTAAGGGACCAAAAATGGCAAAAATATCTCAGCTTTACTGTTCTTTTTGTCCACAACTTTAATATATATATAATAATACCATGGGTAACGTCTAGTCAAGTAATGTTGATTTCAAAAGGAGATTTGATTCAATCAAATTTGATATTCTATGAAATTGAAGATAAAGAACGTGATACTACGACGAACGATTCTCCTTGATCAATTTCATATACAAAAGTTTGGGTTTTTAATTTTGGCTACCCTTTGGACACACATAACATAACCAGGGACAAAACTTAGTATGGTAGGTACAACTGTAAATTAACTGAACGTTCACCGAACTGTTTGTAAAATTGTTTGGCGGAAACTTCATTTATGTTATTTTATTTAATAAATAAACGAACACGAACACAAATTGTTGTCTGTTTAGTTAAACGAACGAATATAAACAGTGACATCAAAATCAATTATGTTGTTCATTTACATTCGTTTATGTTCATTTTATGATCATAAACGTTTAACTTTATTTGATTATATTACTTTATTTGATTATATTACTATGTTATGTTCACGAACATAAACAAACAGACATGAGCAATGTAATTTGTTAAACGAACGAACATGAATAAAAAAATTCATTCGTTTATCTGTTCATGTTCGTTTGTTTGTTCAGCTAATTTAAACGGACAAACATGAACTAGATCTCGATCACATTCATATTCGTTCGATTTGTTTACAGCCTATGAATAAAAGACGAAAGGATATAGGGTGTGAATGTCCCGTGGGGTTGACCATAATTTATGACAATCTGAGATCTTTATATAAAGATTTTTATGCCAATATGATAAAGGTGTCTTGCACTCGCAATAAACAAATAATTTAACTATATTGTTAATTATATATAGATTAGATGTTTATTATTATTTATTATTTAAAAAAATAAAATGTTTATTAATTAAAATTATCAAAATATTTATTTATTATTATTAAGCAACATGTTTAAATAACATAGTTAACTAACTAATTACGGGTTTAGATTGATTAAAATAAAATCTTGAACAAAATTAGAAAAAGAAAAACATTATCCTCGTCACATACAAATGAGGTAAAAGAGAGGACTTAGAGTGGTATAATGGTTACCAACCCGCCAACCTCCACCTAGCCCCTCGTTAGGGTTGAGATGGAGTGAAATTAAAAGTTTCATTATTTTTAATTTAATTTAAAACAAAGTTTTGGATCATTATGTTAATCATTATAACTCTAATTGGTTTCATCCCCTCGTTTTTGTTGATGGCGCCAACCATACAAACATTTGGGTTTGTAACATCCCAAAAACCATAGAAAATTTTTTCATTTTCAGAAATGGGATAAACCATTTTTTCATAGTATATAAGTCATAAAAATATTGTTTCATAACCATATCATAAAATCAGAGTATCAAAACATAATATATCTAAAAACATGTCAACCATTAGATGAAGTGTACAAGCATTCGTCTTTCTCCGATCCTCTAAAGTACCTGAAACTTTTAAATCCATAACTATAAGCCAAAACCTAGTAAGTTTCCCAAAATACATCACACAACAATACACATACAATGCATGTACACATGAGCCTTCTGTCTGACTGGACCACTTCGCAAGGCCTACTGTATACCTGGATCGCCCTCCTGAGCCTACATCATATAGATGGACCACTCTCCTGGGCCTATGTTAGGCGTGTCAA